TGTCTGTCTGTCTGTCTGTCTGTCTGTATGTCTCTCTCTCTCCCTCTCTCTCTCTCTCTCTGTCTATCTCTCTGTCTCTGTCTCTGTCTCTATCTCTCTCTGTCTTTGTCTCTCTGTCTCTCCGTCTCTCTGTTTCTGTGTGTGTGTGTGTGTCTCTCTGTCTCTCTGTCTCCCTCTCGGTCTCTCTGTCTCTCTGTCTCTGTCTCTGTCTCTCTCTCTCTCTCTCTCTCTCTCTCTCTCTCTCTCTCCTGATCACCTGTGTGTGTGTGTGTGTGTGTGTGTGTGTGTGTGTGTGGTGTGTGTGTGTGTGTGTGTGTGTGTGTGTGTGTGTGTGTGTGTGTGTGTGTGTGTGTGTGTGTCTTTGCGTAGTTATGTAGACAAAAGTATATTTGCACACTCACGTTATGTAGACATGCCCCGTTATGTAGACGTCCACATAATGTTTTAAGGTCACCATCGCATTTCCCGCCAAAAATTACATCATGTGTTAAAATATTTTTGAATTTGGTTCCGGTCCGAATAACGCTGTTATTTCGTTATTTCTATACACAACGCTATACACACTTCGAGTGTGTGCAGAATTTTTGGTGTCCACATAACGGCAGTAGCTTTCTGATTTGTGTACCGCCGGGTGTGTGTGTGAGACGGCACGTGGCGGATCCATCTAGGAGTTGGAATCTAGAAGCCTTCTCTGCTGTACATCATGGAGCAACTCTCTGCATTAGTTTAATAAGAGTTTTACGGCGCTGGCAACATCTTACGGCCACATGCACGCATGAAACACAAGTTGATTGCATTCACAACAGCTCACTGCACGGCTTTATTTTACTTTTAAAGTAAAGGAAAACATCTCATGGTAAAAAAAAATTGTTTTAAAAAGATTAGAAAATAAAAACAGATGTTTACCTTTTAAAACAAAAATTATCTACTTTTTAGAATACAGGCTAATGACTTTTATAGATTTGAGAATTCCATTTGGATCAACGACGGAGAACAGACCTTTTAATTTTGTGCATTTAAAATATTTACTTCGGGTCTCTCCAAAGTCCGGACATTCTAATGTATCTAATGGTTAAGTCTGTATCGCATCTGACACAGAGCGGTTTCTCATCTCAACGCAGGAGATATCCATGGGTCACGGAAGCATATATCTAAATACGTAAACGAGTAAAAATTTCTTCGTCTGTTCTCGAAAGACCAGAAGATTTTCGTGGGTCCAGTGTGGACACTGTGAAGCTTGTTGGTAGTTGTTTACTTTAGTTTTTATCCCACAGCCTGGAGATGTAGTGAAGGAAATAATTCTCAACAGCAATTTAACTAGATTTTCTATTTTCGGGTTTCAAAGTTTTAGATTGTCTAACAGCAGCAAGAAAATGGAAATCCAGGTCAAAACCAGAGGCTTGAGACCGTACGCAGCTTCAAATACCAGCGTGCAATAGTGACAGACCAAGGATCAAAACCAGAAGAAGGCAAACTTCAACAGCAATGACCAAGTTGAAAACCAGTTGGAAAGACAGAAATATCACAACCAGATCAAAGATCAGACTCATGCATTCCTGGTCATGTCAGTATTTTTGTATGCATGTAAATTCTGGACCTTGAATGAAGACCTTGAAAGGAGGATCAAAGCTGTGGAGAT